TTACTTAACCTATTGGTTTGTCCTTTTCACAACTGAATTTTCTACCTATCTTTGAGTCATCAGCAAATTTTACAGCTATACCTCCTCTCCATTCATCCTGAACTGTGATACCGTTCTCTCACTGTATACTATATTTCTGGGTTTCATGCCATTGGCAGGCTTTGAAATGATGTCCTATATATTCAAATCCAGATCACTAACAGACATGAAAAATGCAGTGATCATAATTCTGACCTGTAGAGTTCTTCTTTTCTGTCTGAAAGATAACTGCTCATCCTTACCCTCTAATGCTCAGTTAATTGTATGTGCATGCTTCCAATCTCTCTCTAATCTCTCATTGCGAACTATGAAATGCCTTTGGGAATCGGAGATCTGAGCCAATCTGTTCGTCTCAAGCAAGCGACATTTACCAAGTTATATCTCAACATTCTTCGTACACTGTATTCCAAGATGTTATCTTCTGAAATAAATTTTAATTGATTCACATGCTTGTCATTAGTGATTGCTGAAATACCTGTGCCAGTGGTTTTATAAGATGCATAGTCATTACATTTTAAGTTCATTAAATGATTCAAAGAATGTTTTTGTTCACTTTTTGTAAGATGTAATTGCTTTTGTGACGAGATTTGTTCTTCAGTTGAGGAATTTCACAGCATAGACAAATAGCATATAGCCCATTGTGCCTGTAATTTGAAAGAGATACCTAATTTATTCTTGTACCTTTCAATTTTTTTACTTTTGAAGTACTTATCCATTTCCCTTTTAAAAGCTGTTATGGATTCTTAGTCTGCTGCTGAATTTTGCACAGGAATTAAAACTCCTAACACTCCTCAGTCAAGAGAACAGAAGAATCTCCTGTTATAAATTTCCTTATTGTTTTATGTTTGAGCCCTCCAGTTTATATAGATATGGATGTTAATGGCAAGGCCAACATTTGCCTCCCATCCTGAATTGCCTTTGAACTGAGTGGCTTCCTACACCATTTCAAAGGGCAGTTAGAGTCCACTGCATCTCGTTAGCCGTTCAGTGACTAGTAGAAATAGACTTTCTAATTTTATCTCTTCCAAACCCCTTGTGGGAACAGACAAGATAAGCTGCATTTTATATTACATGTGAATTTGTATGCATATTTCTCATAGGAAATTAATCTTGATTTAGTTCATAGTGCCTTGATTTAGTTTGTTTTAAAATTAGATTTTCTAGAAGTAGGCATGATTCTATTCCATTCAAAAAGTGTAAAAATTTCCAAATACAGAAATTTTATTCCAAATACATTAAATGATGGCCTAACGTTCCGTATCTGAGTTTTGCACCTTTGATACAAGCATGTTTAAAGTATATGGATTAATAAGATGTGATGTAGGGATTTGCTATATGTATCTGAAAACATTAAAAAATGAAATGAATTTATTTTGAAGTCTTCAGGGGATTGACTGAATAGTTTTTGGCAGATTCTGTGGGATTTAGTGTATGTTAGTACAATCGATCTAAAAGTATATAGCAGAACAGATTATACATTGTGAATTGTGCCTCTTTTCTGTTCCTTAACCTAGAAATAAAAGCATAGAGTTGCATACCCAATTTGCTGACTTGTTCTCAATTTATTTTCTTGATAAAATCCATTATATTGGTTAGATTTATGGGTAATGTTGAAAACACACATTTTTTCAAGTGCATAGCAGTTCATCATTTTGACCCTCATTTTTCTTCAATCCCTCAGTCTCTCAATACCTCTGTTCACCCCACACCATGCTGTCTCCCCACCTCCCCTACCTTTAATGTAAATGCAAGTTGTTGTGATTCATTAACAGACTCATGTCCTTCTGGGTAATAGAGGGCACAGGGTCATCACATCTTCATCATTTCGTCTTCGTTGACATCTTTGTCCCTCAAGCTCAGGAACACACCTACCCTTCGCAGGAACCTGCACATGGAATCTTTTAATGTGGGGATGCTGTTGTGCAGCAGTTGAAAAAATCTGTTATAGGTGTATTGGAAGGATTACGGATTGGTAATTAACATTTTAAACCATGTGATGAACACGTTTTTGTGGCCATCTGGCCCTGGAGTGCGACTTAAAGCTGGACCTTCTAGCTCAGACACAGACATGTTACCCACTGTGTCACAAGACCTACAGAGCAGAGATTTTGAAGATCCTGTTAAAAGAGCCGTGGCAATTTGCTGCAATGTACCTTGGTGCACGCTGCTGTCATTAGGCACTGGGAAAGGAGTGAGCATTTAAGCTGGTGGATCATGTGAGCTCTTTTGTTCAGAACAATGTCAAGCTTCTGGCCACTGAATCCTCAGGATGTTGTTGGTGGGGAATTCAGAAAATAGTAATTGACTGGCATTATGTAGCACCAATGTTACTTGCCATTTATAAGCCCAAATATGAATGTTGTCCAGGCGTTGCTTTGTTAGGATGGGGATTGCTTCAGAATCTGAGAAATTGTGAATGAAAATTAACATTAAGCAATCATCAGTGAACATCTACGTATCTGACTTTATGATTGAGAAAAGGCCTTTGAGCACCTGAAGTTTTGGCCTAGGGCACTGCCATGAGTCACGTTGTGTCTACATAAGCATTGAGTTCTGTTTTGCTAGGTCAAATATTTTACTGCACTTGTGTATTACAGTTATGAATGAGGAAGCTTGAATTTTTAAAATAACCACTAACTGCAAGAAAGATATCAATTTTGTGAGACTTTGTTTCCATAGGATCTTGGAATGCATGACCAGCATGGAGGCCTTTATCTTTCAATCTTCTATTCTTTAATCTTGAGTGTGAGACCAACCTACAAAGGTGATACATTTGTTGCTGTAGGGCAGAATTTTGACTTGTAGAATTATGCATTTTGAATTTTTTTCTCTTTACTCAACCCAGCCCAGGGAAGCTTTCACTTGGCTCTTGTTTGTTGAATCTGTTTGTGTTTGGGAGCAGCAGAGGATACCCCTTTCGTAGCTATAATTCACATGGTCAGCCTACAGAACTCCTTTTGGTGATGTCTCCGTTACTGAAGCCAGTGCTGCTGACTGGAGTTGGAAGAAGGCAAAGTGGGGCTTAGATGGCTGAGTACTGGACTGAGGCCAGGCCGAAAGCGGGGTTGGGGGTGGCAACTGTGGCCAGTAACAGAGACTGGGGCCGGGTTGATCCCGGCAAGTCTGGAATTTTGTTCCAGTGGATCCTGCTTTGTTTTTTTTTGTATGCCCAATACGGTTGTTGTTTTGTGCTGGCAGTGGTGCCTATATTAAAATTGGCAGGTGTATTTAAATGAAGCAGTAATGATGTACTGTCATGCAGCTTATTGTTTTGCTCTTTGAAATCCACGCTTGCTCTAACAAACGTTTAGATACCTTTCATTGGTGCAAGTGACCAAGGGCTGGTCTCCACACTCTGGGTTTAGGGTCTTGTTATAACTTTTCTGCCACATTAATTTATGCTTTATGAAGTTTTAGGATTCAAGTCATATTTCTAAAATGTTTCAGATAATCTGTTATCATTATTGGTTCTTTACCACTCTAGCTCCCTGAGATCTGAGCAGGTTGGAGAAATCTAGAAAGTGAGGATGGTGGAGGTAGAAGGAGGGTGAGTGAGTGAATGTGATTGGTGGCATAAGTGAGTTTTGGGGTGGTAAAATGAGTGGGGGCTGAGTGGGATGTGAGGGTGAGCATGAGTGAAATGGATTTGGAGGGCATGAATGTGTCAAATGGGGGAGTGAATATGGAGAGAGCTTATGAGTATGTGAGGGATTGAGTGTGGAGAGAGGGCCGTGAGAGTATAAGGACAAGTATAGAGAGAGGGTGTGTGTGAAAGGAGAGATGAGTTGGGAAGGCAGGTGGGGGTGTGTGCGCGGGGTTGGGGGAGTGGTGGTGGTGAAAGATTATAATGAGTATTTGTGGTGAGCAGGAGAGGAGCTTCACTGAGTCTTCTGTCAGCATAGAATATAGAGAATTTGATTGAAATCTACTGGATTATGTAAAATAAATTTTTATGAAGTACTTGAGACAGATTTTCATACTCGTATGATACATTACTTTATGTTCATCTATAATATGCTAACTTTAATAATTGTTCCTAGGCTCCTTTATTGCTGTTATTGGTTTTGCTGGCAACTGGAGTCACATTCATTTTCAAATGTTTTTACTTTGTTTCATGGATATGAGTATCACTGGCAATTCCGGCCTTCATTGCCCATCTCTAATTACACTGGGGAAAGTGGTACAGAGTTAGAATGGGGTCACTTTGGAAAATAGTTTGCAAAGTGCTGACATGCTCCTTTACTTCACTTCACTTGTACATGATCTAGCAAGGTTGTTAGTATGGACTTCCTGGACGTATGTCTTATCTGCACTAACTGCATCAGATGCTGAAATGCTGAGATTAGTTTGGCTTTATACAAATGCATTTGTGCGTTGTCTTGGTGATAGGTAAACAAAGCTAAAACTAATGCATCTGTTCATTTGAAATCTAACAATTACAACAGTTTGAAATTGATAAGCATTTGCATTTCTCTACAAATCACAAAATGCGCTTTAATTTGTCAAAACATTTTCAGACATTTTTGGCTTTTAAAAACTCATTGATTAGACTCTAGCTGAAGCATTGTGAGCATTTTTGAGCATCACACATTGTAAAGGATGTCAGAGCCTTAGAGAGGAAATTTATTAATATTGGTCCCTGGGAGAGGAATTTTCAGACCAGAAAAGGTAAGGATTTAATGGACCTTTGCAAATCAGGAGAAATTGTTTCCATTGTCACTATGTTCAGTAACTATGGACACAGATTTGAAGTAACAGGGAGTCAGAGGAGACATAATTTTTTTTATGCAGTGTGTTATGACGTTCTGGAATATACTACTTAAAAGACAAGCAGATTCAAGTAATAAATTGCAAAATGGAATTGAAAAAATATTGTGGAAAATAATTAACACAAGCATGATGGGCCACATGGCCTCCTCTTTGCTATATCATTCTGTGTTTCTGTGACACCAGTGGCAGACTTGATGACCTGAAAATCTGTTTGATCTCTTTGATGCTGTTGCCTCTTGGATTTTAGTTAATGGAATCCTTCTTTCTTGCAGATATTCAGTTTCTGAATGTACATTATGGATGACGATAGCCAAGATGAACTGATTAATGTAAACACTGCACTGGGGAAAGCAAGAGGAAAACGAGAAGTCGTAGCCATTTTCAGTGATGGAGGTAATGTTCAGAATTTAGTTGGGCAAAATGAAGTATGGTATGATCATGGTGGATGCGCAGATAGGATAAAGCTACCCTTGTTTAGAGCTGAGGGTCAGATGTGCTTGTTTGAAAAAGACTTTACACATATTGAAGACAATCAATATCAATAGGAGAATGATGTTCCGAAAAGGGAGCCCTCAATGACATTCTAATCTCAAAAATGTGCTGACGAATCAATGGTCCTGACAGGCATACGATGAATTAAATATTTAATCATGTTCTGTCTAAGTTAAATAGCAAATTATTTGCTCAGTCTGTGTTTTTGAGTTTTCTCATCTCTCTGGGAAGTGCTGATTCTTGGGTTATGGCTCCAAGGTACTGGATTTCAATGTAGATAAACATGGGGTCAACATTAACAGGATGGAACAACCAATTTTCTAATTGGTAAACTTGTGTCAAAAAATGGCATGCAGGTATAGCAAGTATTTGGCAAAGAAATGGAAAGAACATAAATTGGCAAATTGAGTGGAGTATATGGGGAGCACTGGGGGAGGCGATGGCTGAGTGGTATTATTGGTGGATCATTAATCCAGGTAAGGTTTGGGGACTGGGTCCAAATCCTGCCATGCCATGAAAAAAAGGTCTGGAATTAAGAGTCTAATGATACGCGTGAAACCATTGTCGATTGTTGGAAAAACCCATCTGGTTCAAACATGTCCTTTAGGGAAGGAAACTGCCATATTTACCTGGGCTGGCCTACGTGTGACTCCAGATTCATAGCAATGTGGTTGGCTTGTAACTGCCCTCTGGGCAATTAGAGATGGGCAATAAATGCCAGTGATGCCCTCAAACCGTGAATGAATGAAAGAAATATAAGTAGTGAAGTCTTGCTGCCACTAATGAGATTTCACCTAGAGTACTACATGCAGTTCTGATCTCATTATTTAAGGAGGGATACGCTTACATTGGCAGCAGTCCATAAACGACTCACCTGATTAACTCCATCTCAGGAATCATCATATGAACAAAGGTTGAGCATGATGGCCTATTCTCATGAGTTTAAAGGAATGAGAGGCGATCTTATGGAAGCATTGCATTCTAAGGGGGTTTGATTGGTTGCATTTTGTCAAGCTAGATCTAACGGCTTATTTAAGATGGAAATGAGGTGGAATTTCTTCTCTCAGAGGGTTGTTAAGTTTTGGAATTCTCTCCCCATAGAGATGTGGAGGCTGGATTATTGATTACATTTCAGGGCTGAGTTAGGAAGATTTTTGATTTATAAAGGGGGGGTCAAAGGGCATGGGGAGCTGCAGGGAGTGTGGAGTTGAGGCAAGAAGAACATCAACTATGATCTTTTTGAATAGCGGAACAAGGTTGAGCACCTCGAAGACCTACTGCTGTTTCAGTTTCTTGTGTTTTTATGTTACGTGGAAAGCTAGAAACAGTGGAAGAACAAAGCGACTTGGTGTTCAGGTACATAGAGCACAAAGATATCATGAACAAGTACAGAAAGTAGTCAAAGAGTAATAGAATGCTGGCCTTTATATCTTGAGGAAGATAATTCTATGGGGTAGAAGCCAGGTCTCAGTTCTCTAAAACTAGTGGGACCACACTTGGATTCTGAGGGAAATTCTGATCACCAGCCTTTGGAAAGATATTTTGACCAAGGAGGGAGTGCTGCATAGCTTTACTTAAATTATACCTGGACTTAAACAGTTAAATTACGATGAATGATTGCACAAACAAGAACTGTACTTCTTCAGTGTGTAAGTTCAGGGTTGATTTAAAAACATTTGAACAAAAAATACCAGTCAAGTCACTGAACCTGCCCTGCCACTCAGTACAATCATGGCTGATTGAACTCTTCAACACGTTTTACCTACACCATCCCTATTTCCTTGTATGCCACTGGCAATCAGAAATTTATTAATCTCTATTTTAAACACACTTAAAGAATGAGCTTCCACAGTCTTCTGCGGTAGAGAATTCTAAAGGTTTAAAATACTGAGTAAAAGAGTTTCTCCTCATTTTGGGATGGCATCTGCCTTATTTTTAAGTTGTTTCTAGACTCCCATACAAAGGGAAACATCTTGCCTGTATTTACCATGCCTGAGTTTAAACATTTTGTAAGTATTAATTAGACCATCCCTCATTCTTCGAAAAGCTAAAGACTACATGTCCTGTTTTGCCCAATCTCACTTAACAGGACAGTCCCACAATCTGGGAACAAATCTGATGAACCTTTGTTGTACTCCCTCTATGACAATATCTTCCTGAGATAAGGAGACCAAAATAGCATACATTACTCCAGTGATGATCTAACCAAGCGCATATGTAATTGAGGCAAGACTTCAGTAACCCTGCCCTCAAATACTGTTGTGATAAAGGCTAACATTCCATTAGCCTTCCTAAAAGCTTGCTGAATCTGCATATTAGCCTTTAGTGGGTCGTCAACAAGGCCAACTAGGTCCCTTTGTTCAACTACGTTTTCCAACTTCCTACCAATTAAGGATACTCTGCATATCTGTTTCTCCTACCAAGGTGAATAACCCCTGAGTTTTCCACATTATATTCCATCTGCCACGTTCTTTCCCATTTCCTTAAGCCTGTCCAAATCCTCTTGAAGCTGCTTTACATCTTCCTCACAGCTCTCATTCCCATTTAGCTTTGTTTCATCTGCAAATTTGGAAATATTATATTTCGTCCCCATCTCCAAATCGCTTATACTGTATATATTGTGAACAGCTGGGCACCAAGGCCTGTGGTACCCAACTATTCACAACCTGCCAACATTTTTATTACTACTCTGTTTTCTGTCTGTGAGCCGATCACTGATTGATGCCGGGACACTACCTATCATGGCTGGTACAAAAGTCTAACCTCTAAAACTCTGAATGTATGCTTTTGTCAGAGGAATCTAGCAGTGAAGATGATCTAGATGAGGGTGGTACAGATGAAGATGATGATGATGATGAAGATGAAGATGATGAAGATGGAGAAGGGGTGGAAGATGATGATGAAGGTGATGAGGAAGATGATGAGGATGAAGATGAGGCAGAGGAAGGTATAATACTGGTTCCCCAACTTGTAAGACTTGATTAAGTCAAATTCATTAGTCCATACTTCATAATGGATCTGGTAAGAGCTGTTAATCTTGCAAAGATTTGAATTTATAGGATCAAATATTATTCAGGTGAGTTATTGTTCTAGTAGAATGGACATGAAAAAGAATATCTCACGTCTGAGTTTGAAAGGCTTTCCTCCCTCCACCTCATTCATTCTACCCTGAAAGCTAAAGATCTGGTGTCACTGCTACTGGTGTCCCTTGATGTCTCAACTAAACGGCCATTGCTACACACATACCTGCATAGTAAGCAGCGCCATCACAAATGAGCTTGTCCTTGCCTTGCCTGTTAAGGTGTGAGCATATTTCTGTGCCCTCTTCTAGTGTAGGATTGCATGGTGTTTGTGGAATTCTTGGAGGTTCATAAACCATTTGTACCCAAGCTGCAAATATTCAATTCAACATAGACCAGGGCCCTTCTGGTGCAGTATAATGCAGATAGAGTATTTGGAAGTTGCAATCTGAGTAATATTGTGCCAGTTAATGCCCTGGTATTGTTATTTTAGGTAATCCCCATCATACAAAACAATGATGTTTATAATGACCAAAAATTTGAAAACAATTAACTATTTTGATTTCAAAGCTTTTTGTCATAGCTTCTTGATTGCTGCCCTTATTGACTACAGTGACAGTTGTCTTAATCAGTTTGCATCTAGTTCAAATACATTGAAAGCAAGAACAATTATCATTAAGTAACACCTCTTCAAATTTTTTATTTAGCAAACTAGAGGAAACTGCCATTCCTTATGCAGTCTCTTGAAACTACTTGCAATGCTAAAATGTCTATTAACTCCACTCAGTCTTCTCTGCTGTTATGGGTATTGTTGCAGTTTCTTGAGTCTTTCTTTTAAATAGAATCTGTACATTACTTTTCCACTTCTAAACTTGTAATGTTTTGATGGATTACTAATCTGTTTCCAATATGTTTCCAATGTGGAGGATTCTTGTATAGACATCTTTTCTCTGCTGTATACTGGAATGCCAAGAGCAATATCTCACTGTAATTTGCTACTGTTGTTGTTCCTTTCTGCCTGTGAAACCCTTATTTGTATCTTTATTATCAATTAACCTCCTAATCAGTCCCCAAATTCACTGCCAGCAAACTCATGTTCATCCAAAACTCTGCTAGAGGTGCTATTGGTGCAATGGTAGTGTCCCAACCTCTGAGCCAGGAGGCCTGGATCCAAGTCCAACCTGCTTTAGAGGTATGTAATAACATTATAAAATAAATCCAAAACTCTGACCTGCATTCAAAGTTGTGGCATGTGCCATAAATCCATTTCCACTGCTTGCTGATCTACATTGGATCCTGGTGAAGTCTCAAATTTAAAATTTTCATCCTTGCATTTGAATTCCTCTACGACCTCTCTTCTCCCAACTTTTATTATTACCTGCTGCAGCCAGACAGCCTCCAAGACCTTCATATTTTTCTAATTCTGGCCTTTTGCGCATCCCCAGTTTTCAATGCTGCACCATTCATGTTCGTGTCTTCAACCACCTAGGTCCTAAACCCCTCTGACTTTCAAACTAATTCTCATGTTTTAAGATGTTTCTTGAAACTTATCTACTAAGGTTTTGCTCACTTGTCCTAACGTTTCCTTAAGTGGCTCTGTTTCAGAGTTGTACTGATAATAAAAACAGCAAATGTTGGAAATACTCTGCAGGCCAGACAGCAGCTTGTTAGAGAAACAAACGACAGAATGAAGGGTTATTAACCTGGAATGTTAATTTTGTCACTGTAAAACAGACCTGTAATTTTTGCTGTTTTTTTAGATTTCTAATTTCTGAAGTATTTTTGTATTTGTTTTGATAATGCCCTTGTGCAGCTCTTGGCATGTTTACCCCATTAAAGCTGCTACATAAATTTACACTGTAAATTTGGTTCTTCTGTCATGTAGTGTTATAATTCAAGTTTACATTCGGAGATTGATAAATGTAAATGATATTGCATTTGTTTGTTTCTTAAAAAAATTTGTCTGAAGACAATGAAATCGATGATGAGGCAGAGGAGGCTGTTAGAGGAGATGACACAGAGAAAACAAGTTCTGGAGGTAAATGGGGAAGCAATTCCGATGAGGAGGCCGACAATTGCCCAATCTGCCTGAATACTTTCCGAGACCAGGCTATTGGAACTCCAGAAAGCTGTGCACATTACTTTTGCCTTGATTGCATTCTTGAATGGGCAAAGGTGAGTGCTATGAACCAGGTATAGGTTTTGAACTGTTTGAAGCTATTAGGTTGATGGTGTATTCTCTATATTAAAAAAATTATACATTTCTGCACGTATTTTGATAAACTATAAGTGACTGTACCTGATTCTGTAAGAAAGAATGATGTGATTATGGACTTGTTCTGAACTTGAGATTATTATTTTCACATTTGCTCCCCACTATAATGATTTAAGAGATTTGGCAGTAGTATTTCCCTTCACATTGAGAATGTCATTCATGTCTCAATGGAGACTACTGTTGCCCTTGAACCAGAAGATTATAGTTTCAATACTTAGGGGGCTTGAGCACATAATTCAGTTCTACACATCATTCATGCACTCTCAGGGAATATAGGAGCAGGTATAGATCATTCTGTCCCTCAAGCCTGTTCCACCATTTAATGAGATCATGGCCGATCAGCGACATAACTGCATATAACTGCCTTTGACCCATATCGCCTAATACCTTTGCTTAAGAAAAAAGTTACCATGGTTGAAGTTTATTGAATAAGATAGTAAATAGTGGCACTGTCTGTCCCCTGATAGGTAGTAAAATCACACAGCACTATGCAAAGAAGAACATGGTATTTTCCTTGTTATCCTGGCTAACATCAATCACCATCAGTATGACAAATAATCTGTGTTTCCTACATCACAGCAGTGATTGCACATTAAAATTGGCTTAAATTACTGTCCTTAATTAGCTGAAAGCACTTTCATAGGATGCTCAGATGTCTTAAAGGAAATCATGGAAATGCAAATTCTGTCTTCCTCACTTTGCCTTCCCCATGCTGCAAGAAATTAAGGAGGTCCTATGAAGCCAGCTGTCATACAGTGATAGCCATCTATAAGTCAGTCATAAAATTTCAAAGCAGATTGGTTAACCCACATTTATGATGCTGCTTGGCCTGCTGTGTTCATCCAGCCATGCACCTTGTTGTCTCGGATTCTCCAGCATCTGCAGTTCCTACTATCTCTGAAAGAATTGTATTGATGGTTTATAAAATATTATTTTTCACACAGAATGCCAATTCATGTCCTGTTGATCGAATAATCTTCAAACACATCTGTGTCCGTACACATTTTGGAGGAACAGTCATAAAGAAGGTGAGTTGCAATGAAAACTGTTAATCAGGGCGGTATAAGTGTATTTGGATGAAATTGAGAAGATGCTTACTTCTGCTAGGGATCAAGATGATATGATTGGGGGTAGGTCAGTTTGTGGGAATCTCGGATACTTGGCACAAATGTCAAACGTGTGTGCTCCTGGGCACTGAATGTCATGAGGGCATCATAAATGACATTGATTCGCTAGGAATAAGTGGATATCCAGATCTAGCTAGTGCAAGTACCTAACAGTGATCCCTGTGGCAGCAAGGTCTGTTGGTGCCCCACTTGCTGAAATGTTACGTGTAGTATATTGTGCAAGACTGGGGAGATGGTTTTGGGTAATAAGGATATGGTGGAGGAGTTAAACAGATATTTTACATCAATCTTTACAGTGGACGATACTTCGAAAATTCCATTAATACTAAAGAATGAGGGGGAGGAATTAAGTACCATCATTAAATAAATAATATTTGACAAACTAAAGTGGCTAAAAACAGATATGCCCCTGGGCCCTGATGGCTTACATCCTAGGATCCTATAAGAAATAGCTACAGAGATGTTGGATGCATTGGTTGTCATTTTCCAAAAATCCTGGGATTCTGCAGCAGCACGAGAGGATTGCAAAACTGCTAATGTGACACCCCTATTCAAAAAAGGGAAGGAGGCAAAAAGTGGTTAACTATATGTTGATTATCCTATGATCGTTGGTAAAGCATTGGAATCAATTATTAAGGAAGTAAAAGCAGAACAAATCATAATCTAATCAAGCAGTTAGCATAGCGCCATGGTAGGAAAATTGTATTTAATTTATTAAAGTTTTTTGAAGAAGTCTCAAGCAGAGTGGATAAAGAAGCTGTTTGATGTGTTGCATTTGAAGGTGTTTGACAAGGTACCTCACATAAGATTAAGTCATAGGATAAGAGCTCAGGATGTTGGCGGTGATGTACGTTGACATGCTTAGAGCATTGGTTCATGGGAAAAAAAGCAGTGAGTGGGATAAAGGGCTCTTTTTTGATTGTTGACCCATGACCAGTGGGGTTCCACAGGGATCAGTACTGGGACTGCAATTGTTTACAATATAGATTAATAACTTGGAGGAAGGAAGTGAATGTACTATAGCCATATTTGCAGACAACACAAAAATAGGTGGAAAAGCAAGTTGTGAGAGGGAAACAAATAGTTTACAAAGATATTGATAGCTTAAGTAAGTGGGCAAAAAGTTGGCAAATGGAGTTGAAAGTGGGAAAATGCGAAGTTTATTTTGGAAAGGAGAACAAAAGAACAATGTTATTTAAATGGAGAAAAACTGCAGAAAACTCCAAAACAAAGGGACTTGGAGGTACTTGTACACAAAAGACAGACAGCTTGTTCACAGATGCAGCAAGGAATCACAGAGGCTAATGGAATTTTGGCCCTTATTTTACGGGTTCGGAGTATAAGAGTTCTTATTGCAACTGTACAAGATGTTGGTGGGACCACATCTGGAGTACTGTGCGCAGTTTTGGTCCCCTTATTTAGGGAAATGTATAATTCCATTGGTGTGATATGGAAGGATTGTCTTATGAGCAAAGGCTAAACAGGTTGGGACTCTACTCACTGGAGTGTAAAAGAATAAGAGGCAATCTCATTGAAACCTATAGAATCTTTAAGGCTCTTCACAGTATAAATGCTGAGAGGATGCTCCCCCTCATAGGAGAATCTATGAACAGTGGTCATAGTTTCAGAAAAAAGAGCACCAATTTAAGACTGAGATGAGGAATTTTTTTCTCTGAGGGTTGCGGGTCTTGAGTCTTTGGAGCTCCTTGTCATACAGAGCTGTGGCGACAGTGTCCTTGTATACATTTAAGGCTGCAGTTGATAGATTCTTGACCAGTAGGGGAATCAAGAGTTATGGGGAAAAGGCAGGAAAGTGGACGTGAGGAATGTTGGATTAGCCATGTTCCCATTGAATAGTAGAACGGGGTTGAACGGCCTACTCCTATTCCTATTTCTTATGGTCTCATGGTCTCAGTAAATCTAACACTCTTCCTAGCAGTGTTACTGTCAATTGTGCCATACACTGAGAACACGTCCACTAACGCAGTTGGCAGGGGATCATGCCTTAGTTATTTCCCATTTGCGCAGTTCAGTGTCACATGTTTGGTGCTACTGAGTCACAGTCAGTGGGGGTGGAAAAGACAGTATCTTTAGACAATCCAATATTTCATTCCTAAGAATTCTCCTTCTCTTTGAAGATTCCAGTGCAGAGCCCTGATAAAGATAATGAAGAGGAGGAAGAGGACGTGACAAACTGTGAGGTGTGTGGACGAAGTGACCGTGAAGATAGCCTTCTCCTCTGTGATGGTTGTGATTCGGGGTATGTAACAGCTGGACATGACAATAACTTAAAACTGTATTTGGAAACCATAGCAATTCAAATTACTTGTGTTGCAATGATGGCATACTGACTGATTATCAACATATCTAAACGATAGAACTGTATCAGGTTGAAATTCTACAGGTGTGAATCCCGGGGAGCTGTTGACATCCTTTTCACTGCTGTTTGATCTTTACAATGTCTTTGGACAGTATTTGTTGCAATACAGCTTCAGCCAGTTATTATGTTAGAGGTTGGGCTCTTGTTCCTCTAATTTTATAAGTTCTTCCTCAAAATAACAGTGTTCAAAGTTGCTGCTGTTCAGTGTATTAAGGATACAGCAATAAACTATGATTTGACAAATTGGTAATGATGCACAAACGTAACAACAATGCTTTGGTGAACTTGCCAGATGTCTTTCTGAGAATTCACATCTATCGTTATCAACCTGGGGTTGATGGTGTTCATGACTGTTTAGACCTCAGTGAATTAATACTCCCTCACTTATCCTTCTGTCTGAGCCAGCAATATGAGAATCTGCATGTTCCATAACGTCACTTAATTCAGTTAGCTGATCTTGCTCATTGATGACCACAATTTTGATAAGAATAACTTCTAACTAGTTTCACCATGACAAAACTGTCAAATCAAGTCATTCAGTGGAGACAGATACTGAGAGATTAATGAATGAGGGCCCCCTACAGGTGACGTTATCACTTGGCCTTGGAAGATGTCTACTGGGATGTCAACTGTGGGATCTATGGGGCCAGGACAAAGGAAGCTTGTAACTGAATCCTTATCAGCTAAACGTCTCTGTCTGGTAAGTTCTAATTCCCACCAACCAACTGAACACTGAAGCTCAATTAAAGGGCATAACTATCATCAAAAGATTTCCCATTCCTGGTGGGTCACAGAATGTAGTGAACCTGGTTTTGGGGGGGCCACACTGCCACCCTACTAACTACTGTTTGCAACTACAGTATCACCATGACTTGTTTACATGAGAATGTAAGAAACAGGAGCAGAAGTAGGACATTTGTGCAATGAAGCTTGCCCGACCGTGCTATATAACATGCCTGATCTGTTCCAAGCCTCAACTCCTCTTTAATGCAAACTCCTTACATCCCTCAACTCCTCAACATAACAAAATGTTATGTATCCTCTCCTTAAATACTTCCAGTGAACTAACCTTCACAGTTCTCTGAAGTAGAGAATTCCAGACATTCACTACAGTCTGAGAGAAGAAATTCCTTCAGTTTGAGGTAAGTGTCCCCTTATAGTGTAACTATATTGTGTAGTTCAATATTCCACCAGTGGTGGAAACATCATCTAACATCAATCCTTTCAACTCCTCAGCATCTTGTATGTTTCATTAAGATTGCTCATCATTTTTCTGAACTGTAATGAATAAGGGTCTAACTTGTTTCGCCATTCTTGATAAGTCACCCCTTTTGTCTCAGGAATCAGCCGAGTGAAGCTTTTGGAACTGCCTCCAATGCCGTATATTCTTTCTTACATGCAGGGACCAAAATTCTATGTCATACTCCAGATGTGGCCCATCAAAACCCTGTACAGTTGTAACAAGATTTCCCTATTTTTGAATTCCAGTCTCCTAAGATGAATGGACAAAATTCAATATGCTATCTTAATTACTTCTACACCTGCAAGCTAACTTTCCTTTTTGTGTTTCATGACAAGAACACCTGAGTCCCTCTGTGCTGCCCTTTTATAGAGTCTCCATTTAGCTAGTAGAGTTTGCTTTTTAATTCTTACTACCAAAGTGCGTGCATGACCTCACACTTGGCTACATTAAACTCCATTTGCCAAGTTTTGTCCACTCTTTCAACTTGTCCTTATCCCCTTGCAGATTCCTGTGTTTTCATCACAACATGCCCTTCCACCTATTTTTGTTACGATTACAAGTTTGGATATGTTGCACTCTGCCCCTCTCTGTTTGTAATAAAAAAAAGCAAAATAATTGATTTCATAGGACCAATCCTTGTGGCACTCTACAAGTTACATTGTAAAAGACCCATTAATCCTAACTTTTTCTGAAGAAGGGTCTAGACCTGAAACGTCAGCTTTCCTGCTCCTCTGATGCTGCTTGGCCTGCTGTGTTCATCCAGCTCTCTACCTTGTTATCCCACTAATCCTAATTCTTTGTTTTCTGCGTTAATTAATCCTCTGTCCATGCTAATACATTACTGGCAATACTGTAAGCCCCTATCTTGTGCAATAACCTTTTACATGGCACCTTAGCAAATGCCTTCTTGAAATACTAATATTCTACATCCCCTGGTTTCCCTTTATCAACTCTGCTTGTTATATTCTCCGAGAACTTGAGCAAGTTTGACAAACACGATTTCTCTTTCACAAAACCATGTTGGCTCTGTTTGGTTTTATTATGTTTTTCTAAATGTCCTGCTATTTCTTCCTTAATAATGGACTCTAGCATTTTCCCAATGACACATGAAAGGGTAAGTGGCCCATTGTTTCCTGTGTTCTGTTTTCCTCCCTTGAACAGGGGTGTCTTAATGGCAGTTTTTTGATCCGCTGGAACCCTCCTGGAGTCTGATGAGTTCTGGAATATTTCGGCCAAAAGCCTCCATTATCCGTGCAGTCACTTTCTTTTACAATATATGAATGCAGGCATCAGGTCTTGGTGACAGGTCTGCCTTTATTGCCATTAGTTTATCAATTGTAGTCTACTTTTCAGTTCAATTGGCATCAGATTGCATATATTTGTACCTTGTGTGCAGACTATTACTAGGATCTTTCCTGTTAACTTTTGAGATGTTTACCATGTCCTCCATCATGAAGGCCAATGCAAAATATTGATTTAAATTATCTGTCATTTCCCTCCTCCCTGTTATTCACTCCCCAGTTGCATCCTCCAAACATCCCATACTTAAATTAGCTATTTTACTTTTTACATGCTCGTAGAATTTCTTGCAGTTTTTATATTTGCCATTTTAATTTCATAATACATTTTCTACCGAAATATTAGCTTATTTTTGTCATCATCTGCTTTCTTAAGAAATTCCAATTTATCTGGCTTACCACTAATTTTTACTGTTTATACACCTTAGGTTTTGTCTGGATACAGTCCTTGACTGGTTTTATTAACTACAGGTTATGATATGGAAGTGCTAGTGTTGGACTGGGGTGGACAAAGTCAGAAGTCATGCGACACCAGGTTATAGTACAACAGGTTTATTTGGAATCACACACCTAGTGTTCTGTGACTTCTGACTTTAACTATTGTAAAGCTATTTATTGTTGTCACAGTCCTTTTTTTGATCAATTTAATTTTTCCTGAACGTTATGAAGTATCTGTTAAGAGTCGTCTTCATACCTTTATAATTGCCCTTATTGAGGTTGAGGACCCTGGTTTGAGACCTGAGTTGCTCTCCCTTGTACTGAATTTGAAATTCCACCATGTTCTGATTGCTACTCCCTAAGATGATCCTTGATTAAGAGATCTCTAATTAACCCTACTTCATTGCACATTACTAGATCTAAAATAGCCTGGTAGCCACTACTCTAAGAAGTAGTTCCTGATGCACTGTGCAAATTCATCTTCCTCCTTCCTCTTTTCCATCTGATTTGTTATGTTAATTACAATCACCCGTGACAGTGATAGTGCCCTTCTAACACACCTCCGTTATTTTCTGATATATACTTAGTACTTCAATGAGGCAAGTTTCTGAGGGCCTATAGAAGATTGCTACCTGTGATTTCTTTCCCAAACTAATTCTGATCACAATCTATTGCACCTATACAACTATCGTCATTACACCAATACCTTCCTGTATTAAACAATGCTGCCCCACAACCTCCTGTTTTTGGTCATATTCCCACGAATATTGAATTCCAAGTCCTGTTACCTGGGAAGTTGCCATTCTCACTGTTCATTGTTTTCAACATCACGATGTGGAGCTAAAGAACATCGCTAAAATTGTTACAGCAGGAATGCAAATTTATTTTTAGGGAATTCATGGATTTATTCAATTCTGTTTTAATTGATTTACAATGGTGTTGCACACAAAGTCAAAACCAAAGTCTATTTTTCAGTTGAATTGGTATCAGATCACTGATCTCCTGACCTCATGACAGCCTTGGTTCAAACATGGATAAAAGAACTGAATTCCAGAGATGAGAGTGACTGTCCTTGATATTAAAGCCGTATTTGAACAAGTGTGGCATCAATACATCTTAGCAAAACTGGAGTCAGTGAAATCAGTGGAAAGTGCTCTGCTAGTTGGAGTCATACCTGGCACAAAGAAAGATGATTTGAGTTGTTTGAGGTCAGTCACTTTGGCTCCAAGACATCGCTGGTAGAATTTCTTAGGGTAGTGACCTAAGCTCAACCACCCTCAGCTGCTTTATCAGTGACCTTCTGTCTTTAATAAGATCAGAAGTGGGGAGTGCCTGATGACTGGAGGGTGGCTAATATTGTGCCTTTGGGTAGTGTTGTAGAACAGAGGGACATCGGAGTTCAGGTACATAATTCTTTGAAGTTTGCGTCACATATTGACAGGGTGTTTAGCCTTCTTTGTTCAGTCCTTTGAGTATATGAGTTGGAAAGTCATATTGAGGTTGTACAGGACATTGGTGTGGCCTCTTCTGGAATACTGTGTCCAGTTCTGGTTGCCCAGTTATAGGAAGGATATTATTAAGCTGGAGAGGGTTAAGAAGCAATTTACCAGGATATTGCTGGATATGGAAGGTTTGAGTTATGAAGAAAAGCTGGATAGGCTGGGACTTCTTTGAGTGGAGTGTCGGAGGTTGAGAAGGCTATATGTAGAGTTAATGGTAGTTGTCTTTTCCCTAGGATGAGGGATTTCAAGACTCTGGGGAATATTTTTAAGGTGAGACCAGAGAGATTTAAAAAAGACCAGGGCAAATTTTTTACACAGAGGATGGTTCACGTGTTGAAAGAACTTCCTGAGGAAGTGGTGGATGCGGGCACAGAATGTTTAAAAGACACTTAAATAAGTACATGAATAGGAAATGTTTGGAGGTATATTGGCCAGGAGCAGGCAGGTGAGACTAATTTAGTTTAGGATTATGTAGCATGGACTGGTTGGATCAAAGGGTCTGTTTCTGTTCTCTATGACTTTATGTTTGCTGATGATTGCACAATATTCTATACTATTTACTATTCCTCAGGAACTGAGGCAGCCTGTATTCATATGCAGCAAGGCCTTAACAGCATCTGGGCTTAAGAGGCAGGTTGTACCAAATAGGATTCGGGACTCAGGCAATCACCACCACCAAAAGACAGAATCTAACAATCATTGCTTGACATTCATCAGTATTGCCATTGCTGATTTTCCCTCCATCACATCCTGATGATTACCATTGTCCAGATATTGAATTGGACCAGCCACATAAGTACTGTACCTACAAGAGCAGGTCAATATCTAGGAATTGTCTCCCCACAGACTGCCCACCATCTATAAAGCACAAGTCCAGAATGTGATGGAATACTCCCCACCTGCCAGAAGAGTGCAGCTTCAAAAACACTCAAGAAACTTGACGCTATCCAGCAGAAAGCCCACTTGATTGGCACCACAAATTTTCACTCACTCCATGTTGAAGATCAGTAGCAGCAGTGTGTGCCATCTACAAGATGCGCTGCAGAAATTCACCAAAGCTTCATAGACAGCACCTTCTAAACCCATGACCATGACATTAAGTACAAAAGCAGCAGATACATGAGAACACCATCATCATCTGTCATATTTTCCTCCAAGGCACTCACCATCCTGACTTGAAAATATATCGCTTCAATGTCACTGGGACAATTTCCTGCAACTCTCTCCCTAACAGCACTGTGGGGATACCTTCAGCATACAGACTGCAGCGGTTCAAGAAGGTAGCTCATCACCACCTCGAGCACAACAAGGAATAGGCAAGGAATAGGCAATAAATGCTGTCCCAGTTAGTGATGCCCACATGTCATGAATGATCTTTAAAAAAAAAAGACCAGAGAAGGAATTTACACGTGAAGGCAAGCGGCATAGTTGAGGCATTGAATGAATACTTTGCATCTGTCTTTACCAAAGAGGGAGATTTTATACAAGCCATGGTAACAGAAGAGGAAACTATCACTAGAAGGATTCAGAATTTATAAGGAAGATTTTTTGGATAGACTCTTGGTACTTAAAGTTGAGAAGTCACTGGAACCAAATGGAAAGCATCCAAGGATACTGAAGAAACTGACTAGAAAATTGCAAGGGCGGTGTTTCACATGATTTTTCAGTCATCCCTAAACACTTGCGGGTGCCAGAAGACTGGAGAATTGAAGATATTATGCACTTGTACACAAAAGGTTTGTAAGAATGAGCCCGCCAGCAATTAGCAGTCAGTCAGTTTAACTTCAGTGCTGTGGAAGCTTCTAGAAACAGTTATTAGGGATGGAATTGGTCATTTGAAAAAAAGTGAGTTGATTAAGAAGATCCAGCATATCTTCTAAAGGATACATCATATTTAAATAACTTGCTAGAGTTTTTCCGAGAGGTTGCAGAAAATATTGATGTGGTGTACATGGACTTCCAGAGGTTTTCAGTAGATTGCTGCACAACAGAATTATGAAAGAATTTATAGCACATGGAATAAAAAGGATAGTTACAAAGTGAATGCAAAATTAGCTGAGTGACACAGGAAAGAGTAATGGTGAATGGATATCTTTCAGGCTGGAGGAATGTTTCCCAGGGATCAGAATTGGAACCCTTGCTTTTCCTGATATTTATTAATGATCTAGAACTTGATATGTAGAGGACAGTTTCAAGGTTTGCAGATAATACAATAATTGAAAGCATTGTAAACTGAGGGACAGTGTAGAATTTCAAAAAGATATAGACAGGTTGGTGGATAAGTGGCAGATCAAATTCAAGGTAGAGAAGTGTGATGTGATGCATTTTGGTAGGAAGAACATGGACAGATAATATAAAATAAAGGGAACAATTCTAAAGAGAGTGCAGGAGCAGTGGAAACTGGGTGTACGTGTGCTTAGATTATTGAAGGTGGCAGGACAGGTGGAGAGAACAATTGATAAAACATGCAGTACCGTGATCTTTATTAATAAAGGCATTGAGTACAAAAGCAGGGAGGTTACGATGAGCGTGTACACGACACTTGTTCAACCTCAGCTGGAGTGTTGTGTTATGGATGCAACCCTGTAGGAAGGATGTGAGTGCATTGGAGTTTAGGTGGAACAAAGATTGGATGAAGTTTTTGGCAATGTCTAAGCTGAGTCAGCGTGGGGTGAAGTCGGTGATATATGGGAGGTGAAAAGTGAAAGCCCAAAAGAGTGATCAAAAGCTAATTACGGCTTCATATGTGAAACCGAGGTTGCAAGCAGTCTGATTTAGTCTCAGACTGTTGGCACAGTGGGTTTTGGGACCCTTTTCTTGATGTATATTAGTGATCTAGTCTTCGTATACAGGAATCAGTTTTAAAGTCTGCAGACAATGCAAAGCTTGGAAGCATTGTAAACTGTAAAACGGGCAGTGAAAATTTCAAAAGAATATTGACAAGTTGGTGGAGTGAACATAGAAGTTGTTACCAACTCTGTTGAGACCTGTAAAACAAATTTGAATTCCCAGTGACTGATCTAGAAATTGCACAATGCAAATTCAAATTTTAAGACCTTAATTGCAACAAGCAAAAAGCAACAAAATACTCTTGAGGCAACGTGTAGAAAGTACCAAGAAGCTATCCTTTGTCCATTTCTTAACCAACTGTCAGTCTCATGGCGGAATTATACATTACAGCACACTCTCTGCAGGACACAGTTCAAATTTACTCTCAGCTTCTCTGAGGAGGTTGAACAAATGGTTCTGTGAATGGAGAGTTGATTAAAGAGAGTGGACTGGGTGAGCAAAATAGCCCTTTTATTGTTTTTCAGTTCAAATTTCATGGGCTTCAAAGTCATGACTGCAGAGACTTCAGAGGGGTGGTACGGTAGCTCAGTGGTTAACACTGCTGCCTCGCAGCGTTCGGTTCCACCCTCAGATGACTGTCTGTGTGGAGTTTGCACATTCTCCCCACGTCTGCATGGGTTTCCTCTGGGTGCTCCAGTTTCTCCCCACTGTCCAAAAACATGCAGGTTAGGTGAATTGGCCATAGATTGCCTATAGAATCCAGTTTTGCAGGTTACGTGGATTAGCCATGGGAAATGTTGGGCTACTGGGATGGGTGAGATGCTGTTCGGATGGTTGGTGTAGACCTGATGGGCCTGCTTTCACACCGTAAGGATTCTATGATTCTATATAGATCCAATTCTGTGTTTCTTTTCTTTGCATTCCCAGTGATGTATAATAACAGTTCTTTCAAGCTGAAGGAAGCAAGATCTCTTAGCTCTGTATTGGCAACTACAGGTTTGCTGGAAAGCATTGGATGGTTCAAGTTTAATTCATTAAAATTCTGCATGCATTATTTTAACTTGTTTTTAATGAAGAATATTTTTTGATGATTCAAATTGTTTCCTTTTTTTTTAGGTACCACTTGGACTGTCTCACTCCTGCCCTTAATACTGTTCCAGTGGAAGAATGGTTTTGCCCAGAATGTGCTGCTAACAATCCCACAGCTGGTGAGAAAAAAAAAACCATATGATTTATATTTAAGGGAAGATGTGCTCTTTAAACTTGTTTGCTGAGTTGTGACTGGAGAAAATGTGTTTAGACAATATAGGATTTGACTGGTTATGATGCTGGACGGGCACCCTAAGAGTCTGGGAATTCCGGCCTCACCATTTTGCTGGCAGCAGACTGGTGAATGAGAAAGAGAGTAGCTGGGTGGTCAGTGGAGTGATGAATTGACCAAGAAGCTGTAATGATGGGTTGTCAATGGATTCAGTGGTCACAGACTTTTAAGGATGGATGATTGGCCAGCAGAGCAGGCCAGAAGTGGCAGATCCTAACGTGAGCAATACCACTTTCTGGCAGCAAGAAGTCATACTACCAGGACAGACAATTAGGCTGCAGGCAGCTGGGAGGCCTGTGAAATGAAGAACTATTTGAAGTTGAGGATAGAAGTGGAAGAGATTGTGTTGGGAAGTCCTGGGCCATATATAAGTATATATTTATATAAAGGGCTTATACAACTGGTATCAGCAGTGATCATCTGAAGGTTTATTCCATTTGCCCCAGTATGGTGAAGACATTCATCCCCTTGGTCTTGTTGCACTATTTGATCATGGTTGATCAATACTTTATCTCCTTTTATCACTCTTCATTTTGAAATGTTTGGTCCGTCCAACCTGAACTGCTTCCTATAGGGCTACTTGGATATCCCCATTACTGTTTGGATGAAGGAGTGTTCCCTGTTTACCTTAAAATAGCTTAGCTATTATTTTAAGATTGACAGAATACTTTTTTTTTCAATAATACTCAAAGTTCTTTGTTATGCAGTCATCAGGAAAGTTTGCAAAGGAACCAATGCATGTAGAAAATCAATATTTCTACTGCATTAGAGGGAGCTGATAATTGGCTGGCAAGTGGGAGATTGATTGTTAAGAGATATGCCATGGAGAATGCATCAACTAATGATGTTTAATAGTTTAAAGCCGGACAATATTTCAATTTTAAACCACTCAGTTGACTCTGGTTGGTCAGGGCATTTGCCCTGAGAAATGAGTAGAAATTTGACACCTATTTTGTTGAATTCAAACAGGTGCCAGTGTATGTACAGAGATAGCAGGAACTGCAGATGCTGGAGAATCTGAGATA